GGCACCAAACAGAGTTTCTTTTGTACAACTTTTCTTTCTTCTCTTTGTCTTCTTTTGGTTACTTACTTGCTTTTCACTTCATTCTTTTACCCCTCAGCTAGTTTGAAAGGTGCATACTGTTTCTAATTTTTTAAAGGATATCCTAGCAATGTCTGATTTAAGGTGTTTCCCCTCTTCCTGAGTAAGCTTTATTGTTGTTAAGTGCCACTGAGTTGGTTTTGACTCACAAAGACCCACTATAGGGTTTTCAAGGAGCAGCTGGTGAGTATGAACTGCTTTATGTTGTTGTTGAATGACATCAAATTGGTTCCAACTCATAGCAACCTTGTACAGGGTTTCCAAGGAGTAGTAAATTTGAAGTACTGACCTTGCGGTTCAAAACAACCTTGCAGTTGAGTGCTTATCCTATAGCTCCACACCAGGACTCCAAACTGCCTTATTGGACCTTTAAGTCCAATAACCTCCCATCCCTTCTAGACTTACATTATCACTGTTAAGCTTTCTGTCCAAGTGTCCCTTCCTTTTGACTCTACAAACCGTTGCTACTTTATAAGATTAATGTCTATTTAAATTGACATCTTTTTTTTCTTTATTCCTTCTTAAATCTAAGACTTTCCATCTCGGATAAAGTTCCTTCAATTGGAAGATATAGCCTTTAGAATTTTCTTTAAAAAGGAGAATGCTTATTTCATTTTTTTTTAGAAAACAGCTTTATTGAGCTATGATTCACATAATACAACTCACCCATTTAAAGTATGCAATTCAATACCTTTTAGCACATCACAGATTTGTGCAACAACTTCCACAGTCAATTGTATAACATTATTTATAACATGAGTAGCGAAACTAGAATTTCTTTTGGTGAGAGAACTTCGGCAGCAAAATCCTTGGTCTTGTGTTTAAAAATATCTTGTACTTGAAAGATACTGTCTCTGAGTATAAAATTCTAAGTTGAGAGTTTTCTTTTAGCACATGGAAGGTATCCTTCTAGCATGTTGTTAAGTGCTGACGTGTCGGTTCCCATCCATAGCAACCCTGTATACTGCTTCTTCTGAGGAGAGGCTAGTGAGCTTGAACCTCTGACCTTGAAGTTCTTATCAATTTTGCAGTCCAGCTCATTAATCCACCGTGTCATACCAGGACTCTAGTATAATGAGGCTTAAAAAAGTTAATGGACCCCACTCATAAGGGTTGCAAATGAGGTAACTGTCAGTTCAATTGTATCACCTTCATTTTAAGATCTTTTCTTGCTCTTTGTGTTCTGCAATTTTATTCTGTATTTAGGTAGTTGTTGCTGTTGTAATGTTCCGTGGAGTCGGTTCCGACTCATCGCAACCCTGTACAGGGTTTCCGAGGCTGTAAATCTTTACGGGAGCAGAAAGCCTCAACTTTCTCCCACAGAACAGCAGGCAGTTTCAAACTGCTGACCTTGTGGTTCGCAGCCCGATTCATAACCACTACGCTGTATCTACCTAATTAGTCACCACTCAAATAAAATTATCTTTTACTTTGCCCTGCCTAATTGGGCTTTTGTGAATCTGTGAATTGGTGATTTACAAAGTTCTGGAAAGTTCTCTATCACTGTTTTGCCACCATTGCCTGTGGCCTATTTGTACTCCTTTTTTCAAATGCTATCCTGGATCTTCTCACTCCATCTCCATCATGTTTCCCAGCCTGTTGCTCTTACTATCAGTTTATCTTGCTCAACTGCATTCGGATAATTTCTTCAGATCTAGCTTCTCACTCACTGTCTATTCAGCTGTGGCTAGTCCACAAACACAAGGGTTTAAATTCCGATTATTTTTTCTTTGCACAACACCAGTTTGCTTCTTTTTCAAATCTAATCCTATTCTCAAGACTCTTTTACTTCTTAGATCATTTTAAACACATTTAAATACTATGACAAATGATCCTAATGTCTGAAGCCTTTGTAAATCTGATTCTGCTATATTTTTTGTCTTTTGCTCTTGGTGCTTTGTTGTTTTTAGTATCTGGTGCATTCTTCTGTAAACTGTTCAATTTTCTTGGAATTTATCAGTGAGAAATCTTTGAGAACTGAGATGAGTAACAGTTCCAATACAGAGGATCTGCATTTGTTTCTAGCAGAGGGCCCCTTTAAATTCTTGGCTTGCAAAACCACAAACCCACAGGGAAGCCGGCTTGTAAATACAGTGCATCTCAGAGGGGACTGCTTTTCACTCCACAGCGGCCAGACCTAGTTTTCATCTGGGATGTCAGGAGAGCAGATTTATGTATTATTAGTTCACAGATGATGTAGCTCCTTGAGGTCTCAGCTTTATAGAGGCTCTTCTACTAGGCCCTCATTTTGTGTAGGTTTTGGGTTGCCAAGACTTCAGCCATCAAAGACCCCAAAAACCAATGCTTGAAAGTTTGCCTGGTTTGTCAAATACCCTCAAGGCAAAGGCTCAGCCAAAGCATTCTGCTGCCTCTCTTAGTTTTACACCCAACCATTCTTTACTTAAGGAGTTCTGGTAGTGTAGTGGTTATGAGTTGGGCTGTCAACCTCAAAGTCAGCAGTTCAAAACTTTCAGCTGTTCCGAGAGAGAAAGAAGTTTTCTGCTCCAGTAAACATTTATAGCCTCAGACACCCTATGCAGGGTCACTATGAGTTGGAACCAACTCCATGGCACACCATCACCACCATTTTTTACACACCTCTCCAGCTCATTGCTGCATTTTTCAAGTTCTTGTTGTCATTTACTTAACCACTTGCAAAGGCAGGATCAATCCAAGCACCTGATATTACCATATTGCCAGGAATATCAGTAATCAACAATTCTTTCTTTATATACCTTCCTTCTCTAGTTTCCTTTTCCTGGAATTCCTATCAGCTATATGTCATTGTTTTCAAACTACCCCCACTCTCTCCCTCTTTATCTCTCTGTCACCCTCTGGGTGACGTGCTTCGTTTTAGCTTACAAATTATTAATTCCTTGAGTAAGTTATTACTTTTCTAGTAAATTCATTATAATGACTATACTCTTTATTTCCATAATTTCTTATATCTAATCCTTGTTGTTCTTGAGTTACGAGGCCAGTCTTTTTATCTCTGATAGGGAAACCAAGTTCATTTTTAAAGCCTTTCTGCAGGCTCCTATTTCAATTTCCTTGGGTATAAATTCTTCCCCTTGTTAGACATTTTCAAAAGGAGTTGGATTTTCTCATGTGCTTTGTACTTTCTGTTATAGAGTCCATCATCCACGGTAGTTTTTTTATTTTTCTCTCCCCATGAGGAGACCTTTTCTGTCAAGGCACATGAAGGCAGACTATTCGTTAGCTGTCTGGGATCTGAAACTGTCTGGGATCTGAAACTGTAGGAGTAAGCCTGCTCTAGTCCCAGAACTGGTGGGACTAAGCTTAGTGGGAATCCAGCCGTCAATCACCAAGTTTCTGGGTCCCTCCTTTGCCATGGACAAGTATCTTGTTTCCAACTGCAATCCCAGCTGCTGATTCCAGCTATGCAGAGGCAGACTGGCCTCAATACTGAGACACACGTGAGCGTGTTTGGTCCTTGTCCTCTGTGGTAGTGAAAGCATCCTGGCTTTGTCCCATTGCTCAGTGTAGGGGTTGACCATCTACCACTTCAACCCTCACTCATAGCTACAAGATTCTGCTCCTTTTTTACACAGGAATCACTTTTGGAGTATAGATGCATAAAAATAGAGCATTTTATTGATGTGTGAGGTGTGTGAGGTGTTGGTCTCTGTGTACACCCACTCACTCCACTATGACCCATGTCCTCAGCATTGTCCATGAGAGCTGGGTCACTGTGTACCTGGAACACAGCACAGAGGGAAGAACATAAGGGATGAGTTGGTGGGAGGAGGACTCGTACCACTGCTCTCTAAAATCTGCCCCTCCCACTCCAAATGGCCAAGATTATGAGCTTGTTTCATCTCTGGAAGTACGGGGTGGAATGTTTCATGCTGTGCCTGAAGGCTTTCTGGGCACCATACACTTTACTGTCACAACTGAGCAGTGACTGTCAGGGAGCACTCTGCAGATGGGTGAAGCCTGTGCCCTTCAGAAGCCCTTCAGAGCACTGTAAGACAGGCTGGATTTATTCAGAGGCTGGGAGCGGGGAAGGGAGCAAGGGCAAGAGGATCAAGGGGAAACCCTCCTCGAGAAGATAAAATTCCAACTGGCTATAGGCCCATGAAGTCAGAGAAGATTGTGGTTGGTCGGTCCCCTGGAGAGTAAGAGCCACAAAGATAGGTACTGGGCCTCAAGTCAGGGCCCAGCAACTAGGACATCAGAATCCTAGGCAACACCCCGATTTGTACCATAATATGTCATCCCTGTCACTGGGAAATCACAGCTTGCTGGCTCGAGCAGGGGAGGGGCTGCTTGGGGCTGGGCAGGGTGAGGAAGATGTGGGCCTCAATCTGGAGCAGCTTGCAGGTGAGGCTTTCCAGGGCACAGAGCACCACTAAGAGGTCCCATCTCTTCTCTCCCTCACGGTGAGGGGCTCAACAGAGTGGGAGCATTTCCAAGCTGTTCTACAGACCACTGCAAGGCCTAGGCCTGTGTGAGGTTTTAAAAGAACTCTCGCAGGTTCTGTTTTCAGATACCACTGTTAACCATGATGAACCAACTGTTCGGGACCTAGACTCACTCCTCCAGCCCAACACAGGGCTTAATCTTATTAAGCACTGCCTCCGCCCTATCTTGGGACCCAAACCCATAGCATCCCCAGGGCCCAGGAAAAATTGGATAGATTTCTGTTACAAACAGGATTTTGCCTGCCTCTTTTTCCTGATATAAAAAAAAGTTCAAAATATATACAGGTGTAAACACTTTGGCACACCCAAAGTTGTTACTTGCTCTAACCCTTTAGGGACCACCTGGCAAGCAAGGATCTGACTGTACCCTATAGGAGTTTTGGACATGCTAAGGCAGGGAGTCATTGCTCTGAAATCAAAACAGGGGTGGTGGCCAGCCCAGCCCCACCCACCTATAGGGAAGGGGCAGGGCCCACCTCAGTCGGAGTCGCAGGCTTCCTGTTCAGCAGTGGCATCCATTGCAGAGGCCAGGCTGTCCTCCTGGCCTTTCAATCTCTCACCTGGGAGAAATGGCAGACAGGCGCGAGGGCTGGAGAGAGGTTCTGTGATTGGCCACCACCCAGCGGGCAAGGACCCACCTCACCCGGCCCTGCACTTACGGATCAGCTCAGCAATGGCTCTCTGCGTCCGTTTTTCTAGTTTCTCCAGCTTCTTGGCCACGTCTCTCTTGAGGTCCCTGAAGCAGGGAGGTGGGGTAAACTGGAGGTTACAGCTGGCCTGGGGAGAGGTCAGGAAGCTCCTCTCTCTGTCTGCACCCTCCAGGACCCAACAAAGTCCATCCTCTCACTTTCACAGAGGTGGGGACTGACACCACAGACCCAACTGGCACAGGGAACTGAGGCAAGAGTTTGCAAGGGTGCATGGTTCCCTGGGGCCACTCATCTAGTCCTCTGAGGCACGGTCACTGTGAACTTGTTCCTCCTCTGGTCATGCTCACTTCTGCCACCAAAGGCTTCCAGAAGTGCAGGTGCACACAGTCTGTTCTGATTCTGGATTTCCTGGCACACATGGTCTGTGCCTTTGTTTCATCAAATTAATTCAATCTTAGCTGCCTTCTCACAATTGCAAACCTCTGGCCCAAGGTAGAATAAAGAAATGGTCTTTCATCCCAACTCAGTCATGGGAGCACTGGAGGACGATACCCCCATTTCATCAATGGGAAACTGGGGCCAGAGGGCAACAGGCAGAACTGGTACAGATACCCATCATGCTGCTTCTACCCTATGGATTCCTGATGGCAAAGGTCCTCATGCTTCCAGACGGGCCTTCTTGAGGGGATGACAGTTTTTCTGTCTGCTGAGCCCTTCCCCACAACTTCTCTTTCATCACTCCATTTACATCCTTATCAGCACGTATTTCAGACGGTAGTCATCCTGTGTAGCACCTGTTTGCACTCCCCCACCATGAGACCTGACACCCAGACAATCCCAGTCAGTCTACACCAATCTTCCTTGGGTGACACTCACCAATCAGGCTTCCGGGGAGCGAGGTTGGCCAGGTCCTAAGGAGGGAGGAGGTCTATGTCAGAGTTCAGAGTTTGGGCCCCAGGGCAAGTGGGAAGACAAGGGACAGAGATAAAAAAAATGAGGAAGAAGAAGAAGCAAGGAGGTGAGAAGGTAATGAAGACGTGGGGGAAAGGAAAAAGGCCAGAGGAAGGGCAGTTGAGGAGGGGAAAAGGAAAGGACTCAGACACAGTGAGGGCGTACTTACCACTTCCTCAATGACAGGCTCTGGCTTGGCGGCCTCCAGCTGCTCCTTCACCTTCTCTTCCACTAGAGGGAGCCAGACAACAATGCAGCCTTTCAGAAAAGAGCTGCACACTCCACAGCCACATGGGACAGCAGGGAAAAGACAGCTAGCAGATGGCCTTGCCTCTAATTTCTCCCCTCAGCCCCCACAGAGATGGGACCTGGGTTTCCCTGATGAGAGCAATCCCTTGGAATGAGGTCGAGATGGTAGGGGGCACTCAGCTGAAGTACACAGAACCCTGACCTCCAGCCTTAGACAATAAAAACAAGAGAGTTGCCTGCATCTACCCAAAGCTGTATGATTTTGTAAAGTACCTTGTGGGCTGACTTTTCCTACAAACACCAGGGCTCCAGGCCTTTTGAGGGGTTCCACTGGGTTGTGGGCTAGCAGTGGCTTTTCTTCCCATCCACGGTCAGATATGTGCTCCCAAGACCAGGAGACAGTGACATCCCAGCTCTACCCAGCCACTGCACAGCACAGCATGTTCTGGGTGGTGTGAATAGGAGGACCCTGTGCTGTGGGGACAGTCACCAGAGGGGAGCTCGATGAGTTCTCTCAGTACACACCATACTTCCTCAGGGTCCTTCTTTGTGTCCCTCTAGCCACAGGTATGAGTTCATACTGCCTTCTGATCCCAACGCACAGGACCAGTTCCCCATGCCTTTCCTCTGTCCTGCCTTATTGTCCCCGACTGTGCAAGATGCTGGCCCCCTTAGATCCCAATCTGCCAGCCCACTGCTGTGAATGCCTGAGTGGTCAGCCCCCGTCAGGGTCTCTCACTCAGAGTCACCCAGGGCTCATAGGACCTACCACCCTGCCCTGCTTCGCAAGGGCCCCAGGGCCACTTCCACGTCTCAGCCTGGAGTGGCCCTGACAGTCTCTCTGCTGTCACCAAGCCATTCTGTGCATCTGTGGCGAGCCAGTGAGACAGGGGTGACTGGAAGTCTTCTCCAAGAGAGACCTAAACCTGCTGGACACAAATGGCAGTGTCACAGGGGTGAGGGGCAGTCCACCTACCTGCGATTGGTTTGGCCTGGGGTACCCTCCTCCTCTTCAGGTCCTCATCCTCTGGGACATAGTTCCTCAGCCTGAGTTCCCTATGAGAGCAGAGAACATACAGAGATGAGGTCATATGTGTGACAACGCCTGATTCACCTTATACAACTCCCAAGTCTAAGTGTAATTAACCCACACACACTGCTTGCTTCCAACTCTCCTCTGCAGATGGCCTGGTGAAGAGGGAAAACAATGGGAACAGAAGCATCATTGGGACCAGCCTCCCTCTCTGAACCTCAGTTGGGCTGGCTGTTCTCCTAAGAATGACAGGATTATAATTATCCCCCACTCACTGTCTTATCTATCCTGCATCATCTCCACTTGTCAGTTAAGAGAATGGAGCGCCAGAGAGATGACGCTATTTTCCCAATGACACACAGCAGTTGTTGCAGGGTCAGACTCCTAATAAGGAGCAACTCCTGAGCTGATTTACTCCTAAACCAGACGTGATCCTGTTCCAGCTCAAGCCCAGCCTCCTCCCCAGAGCCTTTATGCCCTGGGGTCACCGCCAAGTAATCCCTCTTGTTGTTGTTGTTAAGTGCAGTCCAGTTGGTTCCGACTCAGTGACCCTGTATAGGGTTTCCTAGGAGGAGCTGGTGTGTCTGAACCACCAACCTTGTAGTTCAGTCCAATGCTTATCCTATAGTGCCACACCAAGAGTCCAAATTCTATCATGTGATCTCTAACATTATTTCTATTATCAAGTTCATATCTTCCAATTGTTTGTCCTGAACTTCATATTCGAATCCCCAGCAATGATCAACACATCTTGATTGCATGCTTGATCTATTTCAGATCCTGGACTGGGTTTCTAAGGCTGTAAATCTTTATAGAAGAAAACTTAATTGTTCTCCTAAGGAGCGACTGGTAGATTTGAATTATTGACCTTGCAGTTAGCATCCCAGCTCCTCAATCCCTCATACATGGTGCCACAGGTCTACATGTACTGGGCCAGGGGCGTGTGATATGTGGGGACTTCCACGGGGCACAGCTGTCTGTCTATAGCAAGTAGGGATGCTGAAGGAGTCCTGTAGGAGAGGTATCCAGGCCTGAAGCCAGAGAGGACAGGATCAAGGCACAAAGCACACAAGTCCCCACGGAGCCCCAGCACTGCAGGGAGCGGCAGCCAAGGGCTATGAGGACAAGCTGAATGGTGTGCAAGGTTGGGAAAGCCTCAGGCCCCCCGGACAGTGTGATAATTCCACAGCTCAGTCCGGCAAGGGGCCCGAATCACAGGAGCCACACACACTGGGACCTGGCCATGCTTTTAATTTTCCTTTCCTGTCTCTTTGGTACCAAGAGTCACTGGTTCAGCAGCTTATCTGACTTGCAGTTCTGAAGGACAGAGGCTACTTCAGGCCTCCGTTTCCCCAACGTGTGTGCTGCCTGGATACAGTCAAAGTTACATATCTGCTAACCCCCACACACATAGAGCCTGCCAATAGACGGCCACCCTGGTGAACTCCGTAGGGTGGCAGGGAGAGTTGCTAGGGGGCTTCTGAGCTAAGTAAGAAATGCTGAGACAGATATCTAGGCCCTAATGGATGCAGAAGTAGCCCCCACCTGCCAATCAAGTACATGTGGGATGTGGATCCTCCTCCTTCTCCGCTTCTTCTATCAGGCCCTTTTGAGGACTATCAGCCTCTCATAGCATCCTGAGTCTCCAGGGCAGGGAATATCTTCCCACCAAGAGGCCTACCACTGTGAACCTTCCCTGTGGACTACACACAAGAGGTCCCGATGCCCTTTAGGCCCTGGAAGGCAGGATTTTTTTCAGAAAGAAGACAGCTGTTGTCTGTGGTCACACAGCTGGCAAGTGACAGTGCTCTGATACCCAACTTTCTGATGCCAAATTTAGTTCTGTATTCACCAGCTCCAACTGGCCCGACCCCACCCCTGGCTCACATGCTATCTCTCTCCCCTCCTGCCGGACCCTTGGAGCCTAGTCCTCTGAACCTGGGGCAGTACCAGCATCTCATGCATGCAGTGCCTCCCCCAGGGAGCAGGAACAGACACCCCATCCCTAAGCCTGTGGCATCAGACCCTGTGGTCACTGAGCAGAGGAAGGGAAAGTAGATTTGGTGCAATGACTTTCTTTCACATCAGGGTGGAGAGAAAAAAGGAAGAGAAACTGGGTGTGGGGGGAAAACTGCAGTGATCAGTGAGAAAAAAGTTGGTGCTCTGAGACACTGGCTGTGGGAAATTGTGAGAGGAGAGGAGAGGAGCGGTGAGAACTGTACTCAGCATCACAGTGGTAACAAGTACCCAGCCTGCACTGCTGCCAGGGCTCCAGGAGACCAGCCGAGACACTGAGGTCATGGCAGGGGCACGGAGAAGCAAGAGGAGAGTGGTATGACTGTGACTTGTGGGCTGGCTGGACAGCACTGCCCTGGCATCCTGCCATCTACCACCCTTAGAGCCTGTAGAACTGTTCCCGACTCTGGGTCTCAGTTTCCTCTATAAACAATCAAACCATGCTGGGTATATCCAGCATTGTCAAGCTAGGCACAAGCCTTCTCCGATTCTCTCTATTAGCACTAATAAGACTTCACTAATGAACAATTAACCTGCTCGTCACCCTTACCCCACCCTACTACTAACGGGCAGGAGTCCTTGAAAGAGGTCATAGGACTCCAGGTTCTGCTCGGGTGCCTGGCCTTTCTTTCCCATTTTTAAGTCCCCTAGACAAACAACCTTAAAACAACTCAGATGAATATATATATTCAAGTTTTAATATATCTAAATATATTACGTGATATATTTAGGACTTGAGAGGCAGATGTGGTGCTGTGGGTTAATGTGCCAGACTACAAAGCCGTCTGAACTGCAAGGTCAGTGGTTCAAGCTCACCAGCTACTCCTACGAAACCCTATATAGGGTCACTATAGGTCGGAATCGACTCAACGGCAACTTAACAACAACTATCTATAGAGGTCACTTTGAATCACAAGGTCAATGGTTCAAGCTCACCAGGAGCAGCTCCTCTGAAACCCTATACAGGGTTGCTATGAATCAGAACCGACTTGACGGCACTTAACAACAACAACAACAATCTATGGAGACAAGTTCAATAAGGTGAGCCTGACATTTGGCACCTTTTTCTTAAAAGCACTTGTCTAGTTGAAAGCATGGCTGAAAAGCCAGACTGGAAGTGTTTTGGGCAATCTCGTGGAGACTATCTTGTGCTGGAGAGATAAAAATTAGTACTTACACAGCCAAAGAGCAGGGTTCTAGCAAACCCCCAGGCTTTCTGTTGTGACACTTCTCTAGACCCTCCCCCTCCTAAGAATAGGGGCGAACCTGAAACAGACCACTGTTCATACGGACTGAACACAGTTTTACATTGGCAGGCACACTTTCTGACCAGTCCGTCCTGTCAGGGAGGCAATGTAACTGGGCACTGGAGATGGGAACCTCTTCTCCTCAGTCCTAAGAGAGTGGGTCAGGGCACACCCCCCAGCCTTAACTAAAGATGCTAGAGTCAATTCTCTCAAGAGGAAAAGGAATTACTTGGAACCTCATATTAGCTCTGCAATTTTTTATACACAAGATCCAGTCAAAGATATGGGAGATAAAGAAAAAGACAACAGAAATGCAACCACAAGAGTTCCAGATAATGGAAATGTAAAATAATTGCAGTTAATAAATGTTTAGGAAAGTATACCATAAGATGGAGAATTTCAGTAGAGAGCTGGAATCTGCACAAATTAATCAAATGGAAACTCTAGAAAAAAAAATATAGACTGGTGGGTGTAAACCTGATGTGGACAAAAACTTTCTGGATAGGGGAAGGAAAAGAGAAGACAGGATCCAACTCCCTGGGCCCTTTGTATGCCTAAGGCAATGCCTAGGCAATGGGCCATACTAAGTGTGGGACAATCCCTAGCTTTCGAAGGTGCCAAAGACAGAGATATGAAACACAGCCAAGCCAGAATCCTTCAGCCAGCTCTCACAATCATTCTAAGGCTAAGAAACAAACACTGAGTTCTGTGCTAGGTAATCTGAAAGTTACAGACAGGAAAGCTCCTCAACCAAGTGTGGTGATAAGCCCTATCTATGGCCATCCCAACAGTGGGATTCCATTGGGACAATGACAACACTTTCTGAACTTTTGTGGAATGAATGCTAAGATGTACTATTAGAAAGAATACTATGAAATCATAGAATGACAAGCTCTCATGTATATAGATAAGTATGTTATGTGTGTGTTGAAAGGAATATGTATGTTTGCGTGTGAGGGGGCTTTAAAATATTCATGGAAAAAATAAAATTAAAAGATAATACATTTTTCCATGAACTTTATGAAACTCCCTCTTATCTCTGTAAAGCTTAACTTCTGGGAGGAGCCAAGAAGCAGCTCACAAAGATGGCCTCTCAACTAGGATGATAATGAAGGTTAATTTCTTTTTCTCTTCGTGCCTTTTAATATCATCTGAACTTGAACACAACTCCCTTACATAACCAAAAGATAAAGTCAAAACGTGGAAACAACCTAAATGCCTACCAACAGATGGATGAATAAACAAAACGTAGTATACACACACACACACACACACAATGTACTACTAGTCAGTCAATATGAAAAATGAAGTCTTGATATATGTTACAATCTGGATGGAGCTTGAAGACAGTATGTTGAGCAAAATAAAGCCAATCACAAAAACACAAATATTGTATGTGCAATTTCACAAACACACAAAACAAGAAAAGGCAAATGTATAAAGACCAAAGTTTATTTGTGGTTACCAGAAGCAGAAGGGGGGTTGGGGAGAGGTAGCTAAAAGTGCTACAAAAATTGCACCGATAAAGGGAAAAGCTGGACAGTCGACTGATTATTTTAAGTGCTATCAATAAATTATGCTTCTGTCAAAAGTTGAATTGGCAAAAGTTGTGTAATAATTCAGAGGATAAAGAAAGGCAGCTGCTGAGGCTACTCATGTACAACTAAATACCTCAGAGGGTTTTGGTCCTTTGGTTTGGAGATTCAGGGTCATGATTTCATGTCAAAATCCCATGAAATAATGTGTTTAGTGCTTCTGTT